TTGGTCCTGTGTGTGCTTTTGCAGCCTGAGTGCTTCTTGGGGGTGTTGGTGGTGGGTGGTGGCGGGGAATGTGTGTGACAGGAGCAGGACCATCCTGGGAAGGGGAGTGATCCTGTCAGGTTGTGCGTCCTCTGACACCCTCCCTGGGCCTGAGGCCGGCCTGCCTCCTCTCTCTGTCGAGCAGATAGGGGACCTGGGGCAGAGAGAAACTGAGTGTTGATGAGCATTGGGGTGATCTGAAAGGACAGACTTGTTATTGCATTAGACAACAGTGGGGCTCCAAGGTCCCCCAGCATCTCTCTTCCCTCACCTGGCCCCTCGGTGCTCCTCCAGCGTTTGTGCTGTCTACCTCTTATTGGGACCCGGTTGGGGTTGGGATCCATCTCCTGCAGAGACAGAACCTGGGTGCCTGGGAATGCCCCTCTTCCAAGCCTGAGCTGGGGTTTGCATCCCAGAATCTGGCTCCACCCTGGTCATGCATTTATTCCGTGATGACTTGCTGTACCTCTTGCAGCTGGGGGACACACTCGGTGGTAGACCAGGACACCCCTGGTGGGCATGGACTGTTCTCACGTCTCATGCACGTGTGTACATACACTGAGGTCTGGGCGCTGTGGGTGCAGCCTGGAACTCCACCAGCCCTCCCCGCTCCACACCCCGTCCCTTTGGCCACGACCTCTGCTGCTGACTGGCTGGCTTTGCCTGTGCCGTCACAGCTGGTCTTTGGCAGAGCCTGGCATCCCCTGGGAGCAGCCTCAAGGAAGCCTGAGGGGCATGGCCCTCTTCCTCCAGCCCAGGGCTAACTGTCCCCTGAGCCCACCCTGGGACCAGGAGAAGGGTACAGAGGTGACCCAGCCATCTCACTGCTGTGCTTGGCTTTAGCTTGTTCATCTATAAAACTCACGCAGCGGGAAGGCTCTCATTTAGTTACTCAGTATGCATAGAGCGCTGTGTGTGTCCCTGTGGCCCATCAGAACCCCTTCCCGCCCCCAGGACAGAGGGAAGCTGGATGATTAAAACAGTAATTTCAGTGATGTGTGTGGCTTCTGTCTACTCAGTTCCCTCCTGCCGCCTTATCTAAGCTCACTGCCAAGGGCTCTGAGCTCTGAGGAAGTCTGCCTTGCTTGGGTCCCTGCCCCTGGCTCAGAGCTTCCACAGAATTGCAGGGGCTGGGGTGGGATGGGGGGGGGCACATCACGTCCACCTGGTGAGAAAAGAGACATGGAGAAGGACCCAGACCCTGCTAGGAACCCAAGTCTGGAACCTCCCAGGGTGTGGCTGGGGTTATGGAGAGCAGAACAGAGCTGTGAAATGGGCTGGGAGGGCGTGTGTTTTGGGAGGTGACTCAGGTGTGTACCCCACCACTGCCACCCTCAGTTTGTGGTCAAGCAGCACAACCATGGAGAGAACCCAGGCCGAGGCCGGCTCTGGGGTTTATTCACTGGCAGCTTAGTAGGCCAGCCTGCCCGGCAGCACTCCACGAATCCCAGGCTCTCCCACAGCGTGGGCTACAGCAGGGAGTGGTGGCTCAAAGCTCTGGCCTTCAGGAATCTATACAGGAAGAGGAGGGCGGTCAGTAAGGTGGGGCTCCCACTCCTCCTCCCTGGCCATGCCCACCCTCCTTCCCCTTCCCTCCCAGGCTTTGCTTGTTCGCACCTTCGGACTCCTCTGCCTCCTCTGCCTCCTGGAAGTCGGACTCTGGCTCTGGCTCAGGTTCTGGTTCTGGTTCTGGTTGCAGTTCTGGCTCAGGGTCCAGTTCCGGTCCTGGTTCTGGGTCCAGATTCTCTTCAGCCCCTTCCACTTCTGGCTCTTCTGGGGTCCTGGACTGCACAGTCTCGGATCCCTCAGGATCCCCAGCGTCATCGTGGTCCACCGAAGCTCTGGGCAGCCCTGGGCATAGGGTGCCAGACCCGGGGGCCTCAGGCGTCCAGTGGCCTGGGCATGGGGGATCGTAGCTGCGGTCCCGGTAGCCTGGGATGGGAAGGAGAGGGTTTCAGGGCCCTTGGGAATTCTCCCCAGGACCTCAGCTCAGACCTATGGGGGGAAATACCAGCTCCGTCCTCCCAGCGGCCTGCACCCAGCACTGTGCCCGCTCCCGGGGGGGGGGTCACCCCCGGCGCGCTCACCCGGGCCCACGTGCTGCCAGTCCCAGGCCGGGTCGGGCGCACGCGTAGTTTGCTGGGCACAGCGCAGCAGCTCCTGGCAGGCGGCTTCGCCCTTGCTCTGCACCACCAGCAGCAGGCGGCGCATCCGGCGTTCAGCGTCGGGCAGGGCATCCAGAGCCTCATACTCGGGTCCGGTGAGCACGCCCCGCGCCAGGAGCGCGTCCAGCAGCAGCCCCGAGTCTGCCTGCAGTGTCTCCACTAGGCGTTTGCGCTCCCGGTCGATGGTCTGGGAGGGTCGTTCCTGCGTGTTACCCATGGTGGGGGCTGCAGGAAAGAAACAAGCCGTGCGGGCTGGGGCTGCTCTGCCCCTGACCTTCCACCCAGAGCCCCAGTAAATACTTGAAGATGCGATCTAGCCAGAAGGCCCCGCCCGGAACTTGTCCTGTCTGCCACCGCGGCTGCAGCTGTCCTGACTCCTTCGCAGGCTCCTCCCCCTCGCGTCAGCTGTGGGCGCCTGCCACCTAGGACAAAACAAACCTAGCACTGACCACGATACTGCCTCGCACTCCACTGGCAGTCACGGCCCCTCCAGTTGGTTTCCCCAGTTGCAGTACCCCTGCAGCTTGTCCCCTGCTGCAGTACCTGGGACCCACGGCTCCACATCTCCACACTCTTCCCCTCCCATCCACCCCTGGGTCCCCAGAAAGCAGTGCCCTCCCTGTTCTTCTCACCCAAGTCCACCTGTCTGGGACAGGCTCTACCCTGGTACCCTCACCACCCCCACCCCTGCCTGCCATGTTGCGGCTCTGGCTTGGTTTCCCAGCCCACACTAGTTCCCTGGCATCTGGGCAGAGCGACCTGAGTCCTCCCTCTGGCCAGCATCTGACATCCCCTGAGACTTGGCTGTCTCTTGCTGCCTGGACCTGACTCCCAGCTGTGTCCTTCTGGATGCTGAAGTGCCCCAGGCTGGGTGCAAGAAGGCCAGCCCCAACTGCTTGCTGAAGGCCCAGCGTTTTCTCTGCAAACTCCTTATTTTGAGCATGTTTACCAAACGGGGTGGTTCACTACAAATGAATGCATGGATACTTTTTCCATTTATTGCCAATGTGCTCAGGTGGCTTGGCTCAGCTGGTAAGATCCCTAGCCCTGAAAGGCCAGGAGGTCCAGCCTGGGCCACCCCCTGCTGGGGCTGGACCACCTGGACTCCTCCCATCTCCCCATTGCCTCTGTCCTTGGTGACCCCCCATTACCTGGATCCCAGAGGCTGGGTGTCCTCAGGAGAGAGGATCGAGTCCCATCCTCATCCTGCCTCCCAGGCCTGCCTCGGTATCCCCTGGTGTCACACTCTGGCTCCTGTGGTTGTTTCACACCCCCAGGCCTCCTGTGCCTGCTCCCCTGTGGAGATGCCCACTGTTCCTTTCCCACCATGTTTATGATAAAGGCCACCCCCCATGGCAGGGAGCCTCTGGGACCCCCTGCCTATGGCCCAGAGCATCATGATCTTGTCTGTAACTGTCCCCTCTCCCCCAGTGCCTCCCCCTCCAATTCCCCCACCTGTACAGCACAGTGACCTTGGTGACCCCTAGGCTTTCCTGTCACATTTTACAGCTGACCACACAGGCTCAGACTGCGTTGAGGACTGGAATACACAGCTCCAGCCTGAACTGTAATGTAGTTGGCTGTCCACCCCTGAGGAGTCCAGCTGCGTGGTCTGGCTGCTCTAGGTCTATCCCTCTGCCTTGGACAGCCAAGCTCTTGCGTGTTTCCCTTCGCCATTTGGTGCTGGCACTGGCAGAATTCACTGTGTTCCCCCAGCACCTTTGAGCCTTTGCTCATTCTATTCTGCAAGCCTGTTGAGCCCTTTCCTTTGTCCTCCAAGACCCAGATGTTGCCCAGGATCCCAACCTGGTTCCTGCTCCTGTGTTCCCTGAGATGCTGGCTGCTCTCACAGACCCGACATTAACAAGGAGCTCCTGTCCTGATCAATCCTTCAGGAAGGGGTCACAGGCCAGATGTTTGCCTGGGCGCCAGGCGAGCAGCCGGCTTCCTGAGCCCCCCGCGCCGCCTCGCTGCACCTGCTGTTTTCTCGCTAGGCAGCCAGGGTCGTGGGAATCAGAGGATGCCTTTGCGCATGTGCGTGCTCCAGGCTGCACTTCACCTCCTTGGCCCCCCAGTCTTGTGGCCGGGCGGGGCTCACAGACCTCCTCGGAGCTCAGCTGCAGGTGGTGAGGCTGCTTCTGCCCAATCTGCTTCCCTTCCCTCCCCTCGCCAGGAGGAGCGGGAGCTCTGGATCCGGCCCGTTTGGGTGGCCCCACTCCCGGGTTGGGCCTCGGTGGAGCGGGCGGGAGATGACGGTGCAGAAAGAGCCCGGCGGGGTGGGGGCGGGGCGGCCAGGGCTGCTGGGAATGGGGGGGGTGTTCCCTCACCCCCACCTCCATCCGGGCTCCACATGGGGACACCAGGCTGTCCCGGGAGCACGTCCGGGAAGATGAGCTGGGGAGAGGGTAGGTGGGCCCGCACCCCACGCGTCCCGCGCCCACTCTGGATCTGCCAGTTGCCAGGCGCTTTCCTTGTATTCTTGCTTCACCCTCTCTCTCTCAGAAGCCAGGCTCAGAGAAGGGGATGAACTACTCGTGGTCACAGTAAGCCGCATTGCCGTGCTGGGTGTGTCTCTGAGGTGGCTGTGGCCAGAGGGGAGCCCTGGATGTGGGCTCTAAGCAGGAGGGTCCACCCTGTACCCACCATTCCCCAGCACCCCTACCTTCTAGAGACTCATGAAAGCCTGAGGACCTGACTGCTTTTAGGAATGGAAAGCCCTCACATCCCTCCCTCCGCCGCCCCCCACCCTGCCCTTCCTCCCCAGGACTGTACGGAGAGAGGAAAAAAGAGCAGAAACACAGAAAAAAAAATGCAGTTTATGTGTGGGACTTAGGGTGCTGAAGAGAGGCCGGCACGGCAGGGGGGCTTCGCTGACCATCCCCTGCTGCCTCCAGGTGGCGCCATACAGCCAAGAGTGGTGCTGGGCTGTGGACTGGGCACTTAGCCAGCCCAGCTGCATGGACATTCGCTCACGTGGAGGGACTGGCCCCTGGGCCCAGGTAGGAGGTCCGGCCCTCAGGGCTGCTGTAAAGTGTTAGAGCTCCAGGCAAGCTGAGGGCTGGGCCTCCCAGGGCCGCCTGGACGTCCAGCAGGAGTGGGGCCCCCAGAGGGGCCTCCTTCCCTAGGGAAAACAGGGCTGCATTCAGCAGTGGCAATGAGGCGGGTGGCCAGTGGCCATGCCTGCTGCTGTGGAACATTTCTAATCTGCCCATCTCACTTGCCCAGTAGTGAGAAGATAGGGGGCCGGGAGGGAGGCTGTGCTGGGGGGAATCTCCCTGCAAAATAACATCCCCTCCCCAGCCCATCAGAGTAATAACTAGTTCAGCTACGGCCTCCTCCGGGATCCTGGGTCATCCCCGCATTACCTGGGCCGGGAGAACTTAGTGCCTTGACGGCCAGCTCAGTTTCATCCCTCTCTGGACCCAAGGGTGGCATCTAGGGGACAGAACCCCAGAAAGCAGTCAGGGTGGGGAGCTGGGGCACCCCCCCCTGCAGACCTGGGTTGGGCTTACCAGCCAGACACACAAGGGTGAGATGCTACGCCCGACCCCATGCCTACCCCCACCTTCATCTTACCAAGGATAGCTCCATGTCCAAGTCCATCAGGGTCCATTCCCTGCCTTGCAGGCTGGGGCCCAGCACCTGAGGGGAGAGCTCCATGTCAGAGGCTCTCTTCCCCAAACTGGACAGCAGGCTGAATGCTCACAGAGATGGTGTCTCAGGCCCCTGCCCTGCCCTGGGGGTACTCACATCCAGGGGCGCTCCAGGCTCCACGCCCTCGGGAGGGGACCTAAGCAGCAGTGGAGGGAGCAGACTTTCTGGGCTCCGGTCACCCCTTTCCAGGCTCAGAGGTCCCCTGTGCACAGAGAACTGCTGTTGGCCTGCCGTGGCCAGCCCACATTAGGTCCCTGAGGAGTCTGCAAGCATCAGGAATGAAATTCCCACGTTTGGGACAGTGGTGGGATGCCCTTCCCACATTGAGGGGACACTGAGAGTGCCTCTGCCTGGGCCAGGCGGTTTGGGTTAGGGGGCTGGAGGCTAGGGCGACATCTTCCCCCTGTGCAGGCATGTCAACGCCCGGGGTTCTTTGACTTGCGTGTATTTTACAATTATTTCAGTGGACTCATTGCAGTGCAGGTTGCTGGGTCCCACTGTGGTGCAGCTAAGGGACCTGCCTGAGAATGACCTTGGGTGCTGGTGTTCCATGGAACACATGTGGAGGAAGTGAGTTGGTCAGTATTTTGAGATCCCATTGCCCTGTCTCCCCATCAGCCACAAAAGGGTGGACACAGCTGAGAAATCATGTCTGCCCAACGTGGTGCCAACCCACCTGCCCAAGTGGCCTGCCCCCGAGGCTTGGGGCCAAGAAAGGGCTCTGCTCACCTGTCTGGTACCTCCCTGGGACCCCTTGGTTCAGGCTGTTGGGCACTCCTGGGCCCCTCTGGGCTGAAGCTCCCTTTCCCTTCCAGGATGGCCTGTACCACAGCTACGGGCAGCGGTGGGGGGGCTGTCACGCAGAAGTCACACTGGTTTGGGGCCAGGGCCAGCCTGGCCTCGCCATCCCCCCCTGGACTGGCTGGCTCTTCTTTGAGCAGCGCCAGGCCCTTCTCCCTGTACCGGAGAAAAGCTTCAACCAGACCCTGACACTGACCTCTCCCCCTGCCCCCGCCCCTACAGCCCCTGGGCTGCCACAGCCCCTTCCTTCAGGCCCTCTCTGGGACGTGGCAGTGGTCCCTGTGGCTCTTACCTCTCGCCGCTACTGGAGGGTGACAGCCTGGGTCCTTCAGGGGATGGTGCATCTTCTGGGATGTCAGAGATGATGGGGCCCCTGGCCCTGTGTGGGCTGAGGCCCAAGGTGCTCTCTGGCAGGGGCTGAAAAGAGAAGGCTAGACCCAGCCCTTGACCTCTAATCACAGGGAGAGCCAGAGGCTGGCCACAAGCCCATGGGGACCATGTCCCAGGGAAGCTGTTTGAGACAAGCAGCTCTGAGCTGGGGTTAGGGGGAGAAGCGTGCCCCTCACCTTCTCTTCCTTTGAGGGGATTGTGGGTAGGAGCAGGGTCTCCTTCCCCTGCTGTGCCCGAGGTAGGGGTAGGGGGCAGGAGGGAGAAGGCAGCCTACCGACTGGATGAAGTAGGGATCTTGTAGGAGGGCACCTGCAAGGGGGCAGGGGCTGAACTTGGCAGGTGGTGGGCACGCATTCCCTTCATCCAGCATAAGAGACCTGTGCGGGGGATGGGGCCAGGCCAGGGGGCAGGGTCAGCTGCCACCCCCTCTGCCTGCACTTCCCTCCCTCCCTCAGGCCCCAGCAGCACAGTCAGCAGAGCTGAGGCCTGTTGCCAGGGCATCGGTCACATGCTGGAGGTGGAAGGGGCTCCCCCCAGGGAAGGGGGCCCCTTGGGGGCAAAGGGGGAGGGAGGAAGGGAGCCCAGTATGGACTGTCTCACCCCCAGGCCTCCTGATGCTGGCCTGGTTTGAGGGGAGAGGAGGGGGCTGCTGGGGTAAGAATTGGGAGACACCATAGTGGGCATCTAAGAGTGGAGACCTTGGTGGTAGAGCTAGGGGCAAATGCTGGGTGGGCTGAGGAAGCCTTCTGGGCACGTGTGCTGTGGGGGGATGGTGTCAGCAGGAAGAGCAGACACCCTGACTGGGGGTGTCTGCAGGGGGTAGGGGACCGGTCCTGGAAGGGGCAGGTGTCTCCAGCATCCCAACAGCCTCACTCACAGCTTCCTCTTGGCTCCTGGGTTGCTGGGTGCAGCCTGCAGGGGCCCAAAGAGGCACTGGATCAGCTGAAGAGAAAGCAAAGAGTTAATTTGTGTCATGCCCCCCCAGAGCCTCTACCCCAGCAAGCAGGGAGAGGGCTAAGCCAGGCAGAAGGGTGCGGGTGGGAGGGGCTGGTAAGAGGAGCACCTTGCCAATGACCCGGTGCTGCTGCCCGTGGCTCTGTCGCAGCGTCACCACCTCCCGCCACAAGATCTCGTTCTGCCTGGGGGATGGGGGTGGCAGGGTGCGGTGAACTCTGCAAGTTTGCCAAGTCAATCCCTCCAAGCTCCTCCCCCCCCCAATGGCCAGATTGGGACCAACCAGGTGATAGTTCATGGCTTGACCCATTTGGAGACACCAAGACCCAAGACAGTGAGGAGGGAAGGGCTATCCAGAACTCCCTGGTGGCCAGGATCCCCAAGGACCCCCGCCCCACCCCATCTCTGTGTGCTCTGCGCACTGCCTGAGCTCCCGCAGCCGCGCCTCCGTGCTCTCTTGCACTCCCCGCAAAGCCTGCACTTCTCCTAGCAGCCGGCTCAGGTCCTCGGGGCGCCAACGGCCCTCCTCGCAGCGCAGCGCGGGCACCTGCGGGCAGAGGCACCAACGTTGTGAAAGGCAGACGGCCCCCATCCCACCTGTCGCGACTTGGAGGTGTGACCTACCCCGCCGTCTGCCACCAACCGTCCCCACCTTGCGTCGGACACGCTCCAGGAGCTGCTCGCGGCCACGCACAAAACTCGGGTGCTGGAACTCGACGTGGTCACGCTCGGGTCGGAGCAGGCCTCCCTGCTCGATGCTCACCACCTTGCGAAAACCATCTGCCAGTGGGGCGCATGGTGGGAGGGCGTGAGTCAGGCCTCTGTCCATCTCCGGCGACCCGCCACACCCCCTTCCCCTGGCACTTACACATGTTGAGTTGGCGCACGAAGCTCGCCATGTTGCTGTGCTTGAAATACTGGGGCAGCACTTCCTTGGCGAAGCGGCTCTGGTCGCTTACGAGAAAACTGGTCCCACTCTACCGAGCAGTGCCCCCCCGCCCACCGTATGGGTTGGAGAGGAGACCCGCTGAGAGGTGCCCACCCCCACCTGGTCTGACCCACTGCTCACATTTGTTTACCCGGTTGAGCATGGAGCCAGGCCAGAACCAGCCCTGAGGGACCCCAGGGAGCCCCCCCAACCTGACCCAGCCTCCATTCAGTTCTCAGAAGGGAGGGATAACAGTGGACCCAGCTTCCATTCCTGAGTCCCAGGTCCCCCTATGTGAAGCTAGAGGCAGCCCTGCCCTTCTTCTGGACCTTGCTTCCCAATTGGGTGGGCAGAGAAACAAATGATCTCCAAGAGCCGTAACCCCTCCTCAACTCCAAGGGAAAGCCCCCAAACCCCATCTCTCACATCCCCTCCTGCGTCGCAAAATGGGTGCGGCGGGTGGGGGTCTCTACAGCTCAGTCCCAGGCAGGGGGGCTGGGTTGGCTTGGGTGTTCACTGACATGGAGGGACCCCAGGACAGACCTGAGCGGGGATGTGGGGAGGGGGAGATCGAGGGGCCCCAGCCCTCACCGGGCTCCAGCGGATCAGGTGGTCGGTGCCTGGGTCGCCCACCAGCGCCCATAACTTGCCAAGAAAGGCAGGCACGGGGCTGGGGCCTGGCTCCGTAGGCAGAGCGGCGGGCGCTTCCTGCATGGCGCAGTGGCGGCCCGGCTCAGCGCTGGGGCCGGACGCTGCGGGCTGCTCAATGCCACGGAAAGTGCTGCGTTTGCCGCCTGCCCCGCCCTACTCCGCCCCCAGGCGCCGGGTCAGGCGGGGGCCCACGTGCGAGCCCACGGGGCGGGGCTCGGACAGCGGCCTGCTGGCCGGCCGGCCGGGGTACTGACAACCCAGAGGCTGCAGGATCGCATGCGTGGGGCGCGAGCAGAGGAGACCCTTGTTCAAGTCTCCTCTCTTCACGTTTCCTGTATGCTCCCCGCATCGCTTCCACTCTCCCTCCCTGCACCCTACACCACTTGGTGCCTTGGGAGAGGTTGCCCTTGTGCAGCTTAGGGTGGGCTGGGGGGGCTAGAAAACGTGCGTGGGCACAGTGTCACTCACTGGAGGACTTATCCCATCTGTACAGCGGGGTATGGGGAACGCAGCCCCTCTTGTCTGGGGGAGGCATGCAGGGTCTCACGGCTGACCCAGCAGCCTTCCAGCCGGCCTCTCTCGCCTCTACACGGCTTGCTTGCATGTTCCTCACCCTGCCTTTCACGATATGCTGAGATACTGCCGGATTGTTTATTTCACACTCGACCCGTGCCTGTGCCTACCCTGCCCCCACGCCTGGGCTGCAGAGTTGACAGAGGCGAGGAATGATGGTGTAGGGGAGCCTATGACGACCGGAAGGGTGGGAATCCACCCAGGTTGAGAGCACCAAGTGGACTCCTCTGGGATAGCCCCCAATTCCAGAGGGTTAAAGCTAGCGATTGAGGGGGTGGGGCACTTTTGGATATCCCCAGTCTCCAAAGCATCACGCCACAAGTGTGGGCCGCCACGGATGCGGCTCGCGTTGTAGCTTGAGGGTGTAGCTGTGCAGGTGCGGGCAGTGAGTGCGGAAGGCGTTCAGCACCGAGGGGCTCACCACGCAGAAGCAGTGCACATCGCGCAGGCCCACACAGCACGCTGCCAGCTCCTCTAGTGCTGCGTCCAGTGTGGCGGAGGCAGCGGCTCGCACCTCAAGCTGGCGCAGGGTGTCCGCGTAGTGGCGCGCTGCAAAGCGTACCGGACCCACGGAGTCGCCTGAGAGGTTGAGACGTAGCGCAGCCACCGGCACAGTGGGCTGCAGGATGCGCATCACGCTTTCTACAGGCAGCGCGGGCTCCAGCTCCAGCTCCACTGCCAGCCCGGGGTTGCGCTGGCGCACGGCAGCCCAGACTTCATCAGGCAGTGGGGACGCACGGGCATCCTCTGGGCAGGCACACCGCACGGCGAGGAGCCTGAAAGGCGCGCGATCCGGGGCGGCCAGCATTTCCAGGGCGGTGCGTGACAGACTGGCCAGGTGTAGCCCAAGGGCGTACAGGTGTGGGCAGGCGTCTAGCAGCTCTAGCACCGATTGGGGTCCCACGCTGCCCACCAATGTGTGGTTGTCTAGGAACAGGCTGTGGAGTCTGGGACAGCCACGAGCCACCTGCAGCACCAGCCCGTCGTCCAGGGTGAAGGGCAGGCTCCGCAGGTCGAGGTGGCGGAGCTCGCGGGCAGCCCCGCAGACAGCGTGCACTGCACTCAGCACGTCCCGGCCGGCGTCGAAGAGGCGCTTCTCGCCGTGACACTCCAGGCGCAGGCTTCGCAGCCCGCAGGCCCTGTCCGCCAGCACCGTCAGCAGCTCAGTGGCGGCGGCCCGGCTCCGCTCACTGGACGGCTCAAACCCCAGCTGGAGATGGCGAATGTGGTGGAGGCAGGAGAACAGAGAAGGGAGCAGCGTGCTTTCCATCTCACCGTCGCAGCTTAGGGGAGAGGTCAAAGAGGAGTTGGTGGCAATCCCCAAGATGGGGTGGTGGGTTGGGGTGGAGGAAGAAATGCAGGTTGAAATTTTAGCAAGGAGCGCCAAGGATGTTTTAGGAACTGACTTTCTCAGCCATCTCTAGGTGGGTATGGCCTGTAGACTCCTGGGCTCCCATCCTGACTGGGCCTATCCACCTGGGGAGACCGTGAATGCCCCGAGACTTTACATTACTATCCGCTCAATGGGTGCACTAATACTACCTCCATAGCACACAAGGTTTTAAGGAGAAGTTGCATTCCTGTGTAGAAGGCTTGGTCCTCAGCAAACATCTGTGTTTTCATAGGGCTTTTCCTGAACCTTTCGCTCCCCACACTCCCCAGGGAAAACTTGTGGGGGTGGTGGAGGACCCAGCTCACCTGATGTTCATGTGGTGCCATATGGAGCTGCAGGTGACAGCCTCGGCCCAGGCTCTGCAGACCTGGGCAGCGGCAGCACGATCCTTCAGGGACAGGTGGCGGAAGATGAGAGCTAAGACCTCCTGCGGCAGCTCTTCTCCAGGTCTGGCCATGGCTCACCCCAAGGTGCTGGCGGCGTGGGCCTGGGAAAGCTCACAGTTGTGAGGGAACACTGGAGCCTGGGCGGAAGAGCCTGTGGCCCCGGGGGGCTGCTGTGGGATGAAGAATTCCAACAGTAGTGGGACTGGGACACAGCTTGGAACGACGCCTGGGGCCCTGTCTATGGCGCAGGGCTCACGGCTCACATAGTTGGGCTCTGAATGCCGAAGAGCCAGTTTTCCTTTGCTTTCTGATTTGTTGAACAAATGCGAATTTTAAGCTGTGATAGAAGAACACAACAACAAAACAAAAATAATAACAGAAAAATAGAACAATAACAAAAATAATAAACAGAAGAAACAAGAGCTAATGCCCATGTGGGAACTTGGAGGGCATTTCCAGTGGCCTGGCTCCAGACTTCCCCCTCCAGGTCAGAGGGCACTCTGCCCTGTTGTGGCCCACTAAGGACCACTGCCCCCTTTCCTGTCTTGGACTGTTAACACACCAGGGGGGGGACAATGCCCAAGGGTATCAGAAAAACCCCACCCGACTCCTGGTCACGCTACCAACTCCAGGCCTCATCTCCTAAATCAGGCTCGCCCAGAGGGGTGTGACCCAGGAACTTGGATTTCATCAAGCTGGGGGGTGATACCACAGGGTCCCAGTTGAAAAACCCCATGTCTGGCCCCCCTCAGGTTACTAGAGAGAGACTACAGGGTTAATAAGGCGGGACGTTTTCATTGTCAGGGACCGGGAGCCAATCCGGAAACGGGGATGTTAGGGGTGCCACAGCTGGATCTGCCTAGGGAGGGGAGACTGCTCTCCGGCTTTGCCTCTCAGGGGAGGTGTCGGGGCACTTCCTGGGACAGGCCCCGGGAGCTGGGGCGCTGGTGCACAAGGCGGCACCTGAAGATTTGCTGCCACGCCCTCTGCCCGTTTCTGTTTCCCGGGGATTGGCCTCACGCTATCGTCTCTTCTGGATTCTGTGCCACGTGCACTCTGGGGCGTCAGGAGATCTGGGGTTCTTTAGTACCCGGTGTAGCGGAGATCCAGCTGATCATCAAGCCGCGTCCCGGAGAGGGGGCATTGTGACCCCCAGGGGGGCGCCCTCGGCTGACTCCCACATTCTCGGGCCCACCTCCCCCAGTTCTTGCAGTCTCCTCCCCCGGGAGGGTCTGGTTGCCGACGCGGGCGCCGGCGTCTTACCTGCTCAGCGGTCCAGGTGGGCTTTGCCCCGAGACTGGCCCGGGAGGGCCGAGGGGCGGGAAGGAGCGGCGGGGGGCGGCGAGGGCGGCCTGGGGTGGGGCGGGCGGACGGGGCGGCCCGGCCGGTGGCACCGCCCCGGCGCCTCGGCGCACACCCGGAAGCCGCGCGTGTGGAGCCGAGCGTTGCGGAACCTGGCGGGCGCGGCAAGTCGGGCCCCGCCGTGGCGGCCGGGTGAGTGCGGAGGCAGGGTGGGCTCGCTCGGGCTCAGAAGGGGGAACCCTGGCCACACTTCCTGCCCCTGCCTCGGGGCTGGCTGGGCAGCAGTGTCCGTGGGCGGTGGGGAAGGGTGCGGAACTGTACCTCCCCGGACTTTGTTCTTGTCCCAGTTGAGGGTTTTGGAGGGGTGGGCGCGCTGGTTGCGCGAGGGTATGCTTGGTTCAGAGCAGTTCTGTGTGCTGAGACCCCTTGCGGGGTGCCGGGGTCAGGGTGTGGGGTGAACGTCAGCTGGAAGGGGAGCTGGAGCGGGGCCTAGGGCGCTCGGGAGGCGAGTTGCAAGGGGTGGACGGACGTGCGCACCTGGCGGCGATCGGGAGGCTGCCAGGTGGGTTATTCCGCAGGTCGTTGCGGACACGCGGACACGCGCTGCAGCAGGTGCAGCTGCTTGGGGCCTGCCAGGTGCTAGCGGGAGCTCTTGGTGATGAGTGCATTGCAGGGAGTGAGGGAGATGTCCACAGGGTCCCATCCTCCCACCTGCCCACCAAGCGGTCCTTCTGCCTACCCAGCTAGGAACGTTGTCAGCCCCGCCCCGAAGGGGGGCGGACTCCGCGTGGGTGGGGAGCGGGGCTTCCCGACCCGGGCCTTTTTGTGGAAGGACGTGGAGGAGGGGGTTCCCAAGGGGATGGGGAGAAGTCAGGGTCACGACCTTCAGCCCCTGTGCAGTGCTGGTGCGGTGGGACAGCACACCCTCTTCCCCGGTTCTGACCCTCCGCCCCTGCCTCCCATCCATCTCCAGTCCTGCTTAGAGAAACACACTGATAACTTCCTGATAATTTTTGGACGGTTATTTTTCGGTAAATAGAGAAGGTGTTCATGTGTTTTTACAAGAGAGGTGAGGTTCCCCTAGGCTTAGACCCAGGGTTGAGCTCCACGTTCTGACCGGAGTCTGGGTGAGGCCAGGGTCAGTAGGGTGTCTTGGAGTGACCATCCCGGGTTTGGTACTCACAATAGGATGGGGAGGGGGGTAGATCTGAGATTCAGACTCTGCTCTGAATGTCCCCGGCCAGGGGTCTTTGGGTCTTCTTAGCACCCCAGCTCAGGCTCCCTGTTCCCAGTGTAAAAGCTGCCAGGTGGGGCTACGCCGTCTGTCCAAGCCGGAGCCGAGGACCTCTCTTGGCCCACTGTGTGTAACCCTATGTGTGCAAAGGAGCGATTGGGGAAGGGGTGTCTTTGCTAGTGTGTCTCAGAAATGAAGAGGAAGAGATGGGACAGTCATGGGTTGGGGGTGTGGAGCT